TTCAAATATTAAATAAAGATTATCTTTTTATCACATACGAGCATTCGCTTTCATGGATTACCCTATATTCATTTGCAAAATATCTGTATCTCTTTAATAACTCATAATTATTGTCAAATGAATTATTATTATCACGAATAATGACAATTAAAGGGAACTCGTTTACTCGTGAAAATTCGATATACAGGGTGTAACATAAGTACGTTAAAATATTCAAGTGACGTATTCCTGAGACAATTTAAAAAAAAAGTCTATATGAACTTATGTCCGAAAATGCTTCGTTTCGGAGATACGGGGTGTTGAAATTGAATTTTGTTGTTCTTTTTTTGAAAATAACTCTTGCAAAAAATGAGTTATTTGCACGAAATTCGGTACCTGGGGTTTTTTGATGTGGGAAATCATAGTGGAGGCTGCGTATGCTGTCATTATTTATTTCAAATTGCCCTAACTTTTTTGACAGTAAACTTCTGGTACTTTTCATGAAAAACCCTAATTTCCACAGCTCTTCCAAGGTACACTTCCTCAACAACACTGGAGGTGATCGTTTTCAAAATATTTACAATTTTCCATATCGATGTATATTACTTTATAGCCAAATTTGATTTCAATAATTTTTGTAACGCTCCGCTTGCAAATTAAGTTAATTAAATCGAGTAGGCTACGAAAATTTGTTCATAAAAATAGAAGTTCGCTGTCACAATTTTAACTTTTAATTGACAAATTCACAGTTCGGAGTTTATAAAGTGATTTTTTGGTACTATGCCCGACTTTACGAATGCTGAAATTGCTAATATGGTTTTTGCATACGGCTGGCTGACGGAAATTCAAGCGAGCCTAGACGCATCTATCAGGAAAGGTATCCCCAACGCGTGACTCCTTGTGCAGCGACATTTGCGAATCTTTTCCGGCGACTTTCCGAATCTAGAAGCTTTGAAACAAATTCTGCAGTAGGACGGCCACGGACTACAAGAACTGTAGAATTGGAGGAGGCGGTTATCGAAGAAATTAGTGAACATCCAGAGACAAGTACAAGAAAAATTTGTCNAGTTCATAAAGACTTTTTTTCTTAGAATTGTCTCAGGAATATGTCACTTGAATATTTTAACGTAGTTATGTCACACCCTGTATACCGATTTTCCACGAGTAAACAAGTCCCTTTAATTGTCATTATTCGTGATAATAATAATTCATTTGACAATAATTATGAGTTTTTAAAGAGATACAGATACTTTGCAAATGAATATAGGGTAATCCATGAAAGCGAATGCTCGTATGTGATAAAAAGATAATCTATATTTAATATCTGAAAAACTTGATAACCAAAATATAAAAATAGAATATTGAAATGTTGGAGAGTATTATGAATACACTTGAATATTTTAACGTACTTATGTAACACCCTGTATTTACTGGTGTGCATTGTATTTAATCCCTTTTTATATTGTTCATTATGCTATATTCATTCATTGTATGAACCTATATTTTGGAAATGATTCAAGTAATAAGTTTTTTTTCATTCAGAAATCAATATAATATGTTTATATTTTGCAGATTTGATGGTACTACAAGTTCAGTGAAAATTCTTCTAATGCAATAGACGTCCACTGCAATATATGATGTTCAGTTGAATGCAGACAATTAATCCAATCCAAAAATATGATAGCATATAAGGTAAGCCTTCATAAAAAATTTTGGAATTTTATTTTTTTTTGTATATGATCTGAAAATAATTTTCGAGTCAAGATTACAAGCTTTTTTTGCTATATAAATCAATATATAATGAGAACGTCTTCTATTTCATTATGAACATTGAAATTTAAGATGGGTTTATGTTATCATGGGAACTTGGAAGATATCAGTCAAATAAACTTCGGAAGGTTGTAGGATTTGGGAAAAAGTTTTTCGTATGAAGTTCCTCAAATCGGCAGGTCTGAACATCAAGAGCATATCGCAGTACAATTTTAGTTCTGAGTATCGTTCTCTTGGGACAAGTTGGTGGTGAAAGGATGAAAATTTAATTTCCAAAACACAACTCTCCTGGAATTGTATTGTGAGAGAGGAAAATATGTCAGTGAAGTCATTTGTGGGAGGAACTGCTCTACTTCCAAAGTGTGTTTGGATACTAAGGCCTTCACATGTTATCAGTATTCCAGAATGGTTTGAATTATTATATGATAAATCATCAGAAGCTTCTAGGAAGCAAACTCTTAAGAAAAAAACTTGGTTCTTGCGAAGCTGGGTTGACAACATTTCAGAATAATGAGAAGAAAGTATCAATGGAAGAATGGATTAGTTGACAAGTGGAAAAATCAGACATTCCTCTGCATCCCCCAACTAGCTGACCTCACCACCCCTATCACAAGATGTAAAAATTCCATTTTCTTTCTCGATAATGTTTTTTGAGAGAATATTAAAATCAATTTGTTCCTAAATGGCTTCCAGAAGGATATAGATACAGTTCCCCGGAAGAAGAGAGAGTCTTGAAAATTGATTCTGCTTTCAATATCAATTTATTTCCCTTTTTCAGAAGTAAAACGAAATTGTGGAAAACGAATTAGTGGAAAAATCATCTTTTGATCGAATACAACTGAAAGAAATATTGATCTTGTTCTTCACTGAAACTATTATAATCGAATGATTGAAACGTTGAAAAACTATATCCACCAGAGAAGAGAAAATATAGGAAAATAAAAATACCTAGGCATAAAAAATAAAATATTATCACCGTAAAATATTGATAAAAGTTTGGAAAATTTTACCTCCACTATGGGTTCAGTTTATTATAAGTTTCTTTCATTTCATATCATCTGTTGGGTTATAGTTGTTGAAACTTTTCCTATTTTGGTTTTTCTCAATTCGAAATTTGACAAAGCATTCATTTTTATGAATGAGGTACTTATTCTCATCGCCCATTTTAATTTGAGTATTCATCATCATTTATTTTCCGAAAAGAGGTGATAATGCACATTACACCTTATTGTAATGTTTTTTAATGCCATAAAATTTTTGTAGTGGAAAAAAATTGTATTCACATAGGGGTAGGGTCATCCCAGTATCATCTGCTTCGTTGGGGGTTAAAATGGTCACCAATATGTATTGGCACAATCATGTCGCTGAAACTGCCAAGACTGCTTCTCAAAAGCTTTGAACACCGTTCCGAACCACAGAAAACCTTCAGACCTTCTTTGGAGTATTGTTCTCTTGTATGAAGCTCCGCCCCTAATCATACCCTGAAGCTGCTGGATTCCATCCAGAAAAGAGCCATTCGCCTGATTGGAGACGCGAATATCACTCGCAACCTTGATAGTTTAAAACATCGAATTGCAACGGCTAAATTTTCAACAGATTCCCCAGGACGAAATGCGTTAACGCGCTGCAAAACCAAAAATGCACGGCGCGTAGTCGGAGAGTAGGCTGGGTT